AAATACTCTCTGGAGCAACAGCTACAGCGTTTCCCTGCTGGTGCTCTAGCACTTGACGCAGATGTGTTGCCACGACGGTGCTACTACCGATTTTCGACGCGCTTCCGAGACGCCGTCACTACTGGATTACCGTGATATGGCTGCCACTCCGCGACGCTGACTCGACCGAACCGCCGACCGGCTGGTGTCCACGCGCTTTTTTTTCGTCGGGAGTGCTTTGCAACTCTGCGGGATTAACGGCCTCAGTCAGGCACTTATTGGATTGGGAAAGTGCACTTGCGACCGTTTGGAGCAGCGGCGCTGCATCACCGACCGACCGAACGTCGCCCCAGTGTCGCTTTGGCTCTGTTCGCGTTTTACGTTCCCAATCCCGAGTGCAGTCGGCTCGTTTCTGCGCCGCCACGTCGAGAGGCATCTTCGGTTCTCGCCGACGCTGTCTAACCAGGTGTGTGAGTGAGTGCGCGTTCATTGTTTTGTTTATTCTTTTGCCACGTGGTGGCATTACTGCAATCTGCGGGGAACGGATTGGTTATCCCCGACAGCGGCGAACCGCCCCGCTCCCTGCCGGGCAACAAACTGCTCAGTAGCGTTTTTCGCGAGCAGTGGGAACCGTGGCTGGCTCGGCCTGTTCAGCGGAGCGCGCGCTACCGGAAACTGTCGTCGACCGCCGCCGTGTGGTGCTGTGTCCCGCGTCGCCGTAAAGCCCCTATACGTCGCCGGCCAGAGTGATCCCGACACGTCCGCGGCTACTCGTCCGGGCTGCTTGTTTGGTCCGAGAGTGCGTCGCCCCTCCGAGCGGCGTTCAGTCTTGGCTGTGAGTCAGTTCCTTGTGTGAGGCGGTGGTGTGTGTAGCGTTCGAGAAAACAGGTTCGTGGGTCATTGCTTTGGAGAGCGCGCCACCACTCCGTGTGTCGGAGCGCGCGTGTGTATGGCGTAACCCGCTGCCGCGGTTTGTCCTGCAAGACCGTTGACCTGCGTCTCGGTCGGTGCGCTTTTCGTTTGTTTTGTTTTCGCTTCCTTGTGTGTGCGTGCGTGTACGTTGATTGTGTATACCGCGTCGTCTTCAAGTTCGAGCGTAATGATCGCGTCGTTTTCACGGCCGAGATTATGTGTGTCTCGCTTATGCCGCCTCACGTTGCGTGTATGACGAAATGGGCCGATTGTTTTTAGCTCCGCCGCTCCACGGAAACGTATCGTCAGCATCGACGAGAGCGCGGTACGTGTTATGCCGCGGAGCGCTAGCTAGGTCACATCCCACAACGGATTCCGTACGCGCTTGTTTTGTTATTTTGGGGCTGCGGCAGCCGCAGAGCACATACTGTAGTCTGTCGCGGCGCACGGGGCTCTGGTATCATTAATCATGCGTGTATCTGGAACGATCGGCGCGCCGCAGCACCCTTGTTCGACAGCGGCGCTCATTTTTCGCGTCGGGTGTGCAGAACAAACAGCGAGTGTGTACCGTATTGACCGCGATAACTCGTGAACTTATCTTCACGTCGGCATCAGCGGCGTTTCAGTGATTCAGTGAGGTCGTTTGCGTTTAGGGAGAGAATTCAGGATACGATGCAGCTTTTCTCATGTGGCATTGACAGCGATAGCAAGATTCGAGCTTTGTGCGTCTGAATTCCTCAGCGGGTGTTCGACAAGCTTGTTGCGCCCGAGAGTTTGGATACCTCAAAAGGTATTTATAAGCTCGCCGTGTAGGGCTTTTCAGAGCATCGCGCCGGCTTTAATGATATGTCGCTTCCTCGACGTAAGCTTCATTTTTTTTTTTCAATATCTTTAGCCGCCTGTGAATGAAAATGTTCAAAGGATGCGCTGTGGACGAAATGTTTTCTGACACTTTGTGCCACGCGATCGGGAATAGCTTCTGCGAGAGCTGGTTTGTGTGGCTTTGCTGGTTCAATGGCATACTGTTCACTTTGCACGTCGACGCAAGAAGCAGACGCATAAGTATTCACAAAACGTTGAGGCAACGTTGGAAATTCTCCGGGAACTGAAAAGTTAACGGTGCTGCTATAGCCTAGACAGGACGTGTTCTTCTGCATAGGCTGCACCCATTTTCTGTTTGATCGGATGCTTGCATACCTCAGCCACAGCACTGCTTGCCAGCAGGGCTAGAACACTGAAGCGTACATACTTTCATCAATGAAGGCACAAACAAAAAATAGATACGGGGAAATTATAGAATTTCACCAACAGCTATTACTGAGTAGTTATGTGGAATTCAGCTAGAACGCATAAAGCTTGCTAAATATATTATAGGGCATTTTTTATTTATGTATGAGTACCTTATTCCTTTGGGGCATTGCATAAGAGGGCAATACAGCCAGTGCATAATGTAGATAAATATAAACCGGTAGAACATCTTTTAGTACTGAAGATGCAGCTGAACTCGCAAACATAAAAACTAAAAATATACTAAAAAGCACGGTGTAGGGTGTGACGGTGCTGTGTAAAAAAGATAATATAAAAGTAACTTTTTATAAACAGGACTGCAGACAATGAAAACTGCAAAAAGAGTGTTGTCTGGAAAATAATGTACACAAACAAAAGTTCAGGTGAAAAGAAAAATGTATTGGTAACAGTAATATAGCCACAGGTGAATGTGACTACTGAATAGGTCAGATTTCGGTGCGAAAATATTTCTTAAAGCTACACTAGGACATAAAGGCAACCACTTAGTTGACGTCGATTGTTGAAGTAGTGGTCCATAAACCTCGTAGTGTTACTTTTGTGCCAAGGAAGTTCTTATGTTCAAATAAAATCACGTTTTAGTGGTTCGCATCAGGTTAGTGCACTTCAAATTACTTGCCTCAAGCGGGACATGTCTCATCGCTGTTGTCGTACACATTGTTGCCTTGTTTTACTGTGAGGCCGCCAGCACTAGTAGCAGCAGAGCGAAAGTAGTGGTAGCCACAGCAGCAACAACAGCCATTGAACTATTTCCTGCCATGACTTCTGAGATGGCAGACGTGCTTGGTTCAAGTGGGCTTCACTAAATGGCTCGACCTTTCCAGTTTAACCACGCAAAATTAAAACTTTTGAACCACTCGTGCCATTCATAGTAGTGTCCTGCAGTTCTTTTTTTCATGAATCAAACAGAAACAAACAAGCAGCATTTTATTATGTCTCTTGATGCACGGAAGGTTCTTTACTTATTGCAGCTAGTTCAATTACTAGTGATTAATTGTAGGTGGTACCTCTCGTGTCATCGGGACCATTTTGCAAACGTCCTACTGTGGCGCATCTGTTCTCATGCATTTATAATTTCTCGGTAAGTAGGGCACTGCTGTTGATGATATTGTCGTTTTAGACATTTTCATACATTAAGCTTGCGCTTTGACGTAAATTGTTATTTGAATTTAGTGGCCCTTTAAGATTGACCAGAAATTTTCCTTAGTCTCGCACTTATGCAAAGTCATCTAGTAGGCCACTTCACAAATGAATTGCTCATGGAAAAGCTGACAAGTTAAAACTGTCAGTTTAACCATACTTGCACGCATACATGTCCCAGAAGTCGCAATCCAATTGTGAGACCCATTGCAGTGGAGAGACGTGTTACTAACATGCACCGAAATTCAAATGCAGTAATAAATAAATAAGCACATTGTATTCTGCATGTCGCCATGCAAAATGTGCGTGTGAAAAAGAATTTTAAAGGTGCCATGGAATTGACAGTGACATGTCACAGCCTTAGCACTTCGGTTATGCTCTCGATAATTAAACCATCTTTTTCACTAAATTGGAGCTGTTTGTGTTGGCTAGTGAGCGCTATTTGTCAACGTCCATAGATACCTTGCTGTTCGTAAGGAAAAGCTTCTCCTATAACGGTGTTCTGAATACTGACATCCAAAGGGCTGCAAAAGCCCCCTGGGTTTTCGTTGTGAAAGGCCACAGGTAGGCGCTTTGTCAAAGTGATCTTCGTTTTCACGTTAAGCGTACGAGTTCTTTAAGCGAATATGATTCCGGCTATGGACACCTTGCCCCGCCGTGGCGGTCTAGTTTATGGCGCTCGACTGCTGACCCGAAGGTCGCGGGAACGAATCTTGGCTGCGGTGGCTGCATTTCAGATGGAAGCAGAAATGTTTGAGGCCCATGTACTCAAATTTAGGTGCACGTGAAAGAACCCCAGCTGGTCTAAATTTCCGGAGCCCTCCACTGCACCGTCTCTCTTAAACATATAGTGGTTTTGGGACAGTAAACCCCAGTTATTGTTAATATTATTATGCTATGGACACCTTCACAGTTACGATTCATCTGGTTCATTGTTGGCATAGACATAAAAATGTGGGCAATATGCTAGAATGTTCATAACCTTGAGATCCCGGAATGCTGTGCGTGGCACAGAACTCCAGCTGGCTCTAAATAATCCAGCTGCTGTGGTGTGCCTTGTAATCACTATGTTTTTGACAATGTACTCTCCAGCATGGTTGATTGCAAAATATCTTCAAACAGCCCTCAAATTTCTTGTACCCATTGTTTTGACTCAAACATTGCTCCTTTCCTGAGTAGTTGTTTGTTGAATCAAAAGAAGAGTGTACAATTTTGAAAGCTCTATTATAGGCACACCAAGTTTCATGTATATTAGCCCCATCCCTATTACATGCTTATGTGAATTTCAAGATTGTGCTTATTCTATATAAAAGTGTACAATTTGTTCTTCATTGTTAAACTTGATGAAAGGAATGTTAGCCTTGAAAAGTTTATCATGAACCACAGCTTTTTCCTGCGATGTACGCTCCATAGGTTTATATATGCTATGATGGCCTTTGCTCTGTTAACTTACATGTAGTGTGTGATATCTCTTAGCTGCTATAATCTGCACTAAGAGCAACGCACAGGTACGCTCAGACCCACAGCAAGCTTCGTTAATTGATTCTCTTAGCGGCGCGTTATTTGTGCCCTGTTTACAACTTCGACGTTCACTGCCACAGCTTTGGCACATTTTGTGTTGGCGTGATTTGTAACGCCTGTGCTCGTTTGTCTTGTGTGTGCAGCCAAAGATGGTGCCGACCTTCGGGGATCAGTCAGTCGTGCCAACAGCACTAGCAGTTTGAGCGGCGGGTCCTGGAAGACTCCGGCGTCTCGAACCAACAGCAATGCTGGCCTCAAGGAGGACAAGAAGGAGCGCAAGATCTCTGGGGTGAGTGTCTATTTTTGAAGCACCTTAGGGGGGGGGGTAAGGGCGGGGGAGGTGCAACGTACAGCGCTGTATCGTGCCCTTTCCTTTAGTCTGTGTCCGGGTGTTTCGCGCTGTAAGCCACGATGAATCTTCACCAACTAGCCGAGTTCTCCATCTTGCTTAAAGGAGGTGTGTTTTTTTATTAACACTGGAGGATAATGTTGGAAGTCAGTTGCAAAGGTCCATTGACACCCGAAGCTAGCACAGGCTGCGTGACTATTTGCAATTTGTGACTGAACTTGAGGCGATCAATGTTCACAGCTGTCTGCGATATATCCTCGTTGCCGCATCAAATCCACACCTGGTCCCATTTCCCATTCCTCGTAAACTAAGCTGTTTTATTGGTTTGGATCTTTGCGACATAAGAATTGAGCAGTGAGTAACTGAGCCCAAGCGGTCACTTTGTGACCGTCGCAGCCATTTGAAACTGTTTGAAATTAACTTGAATGTGCAACAGATGATAGATGCACTTGTGATTGAGCCTAAACACAGCATGAACATGTTAGAATTGGAACTTTGTTATTGTACGCTAGAGATAAATCTGGCACGAGTGTGTATGAAGCCTGCAATGCAGGGGCACTTTGGCTAGCATGGGAATGATTGGTAGGTTATGGATTTTTTTTTAAGCTTCTGTCTTGTGGTGCCATGTGGCCTGCAACCGCTTTGTCAAAAGATGTTCAGCAGTCTCACTTGACCATATTCGCCCATTTAAGCTGATCTATCCCAAATCAATTCATAAGGTTTTCCAAAAGCTATCTTTTTATTGAAAAGAAAAGGCAAAACGCAACGATAAACAAAGTGGCGAGTGTGTTTGATGCCGCAAGCATGAAGAATAGGCTACTTGTCATTCCAATGGTGGCTGAGTGATCACAATGCCAGAGTTTCCTCTAGTATGCATTGTGGGAAACTGTGTGATTAGAATGACACAACAAAGGACTAATGGTGAGCTGAGCTAGTGGGCAAGTATTTATTCTAAAAGAATGGGTGTGCAGATGCGGACACAAGAAAGGCGTCTTGATGTCTTTCTTGTGTCTGGGTTTGCATACCCTGACGTTTAGAACAACAAAGACCGCTAGGGATTTATTGTAGAACAAGATGGGCATGCAGATGGACCATCGACTGAAGGGTTGTACTGGGGCCGAATTGAAGGTGGGCATGTGTAGACAAGTTTTGCTCCGACCTTGCTTTTCATTGCAGTGTAAAGAATAATAATAAAAAAAATGTGGTAACTGGAATTTTTTGTTGTTTCTCTTTTTCTTCACATCTTCATGCCTAACTTTTGCTGCGAGGAAGTCATCGCCATCATTTTTTGCAAGGACACACCCTTGGAAATCTTCCGATGGTGAAGGGACAACAGAGTGCTATTTTCTTCGAGGAGGTTTATTAGGGGAACCTACTAAGGCAAGCAATATTGGCAATGCTCCCCATTGTATAAAAAAGGGGCATCATGATCTAAACTCTTTTTTTGTTAATTTTTTCACCCTTCCAAACAAGAGTGTCGGCCAGCAGGACCTTGTCTAGGAGGGATGGGGTGCAAACCCCTGTTGCATTGCAGCTGCAGCTGGGTGCTGGTGAAGCGTGTGTGAAGGCAAATGCTGGTGTTGCTTGAGGGGGGCAACTGACCCTTTTTGACTCCCTCTGCCAACGTCTATGCTTGCAAAATACCTTTGCATAAAGGCAAAGCAGCAAATACAAATCATTGTTAATGAGGCTCATATGTGTTCTGAAAATGAATTGTGCCTACAATATACTAAAAAAAAGAACAATAAGAGGCAGTAAGCATTTAAACACTCATACAAGAGAATGTTGAGAGAGCACAAATGCCGGATGTCTGTCATGTGTCTGCATTTTCCTGCCTACCATCTTTTATGGCAAATTGTTTGGGACTACCTCAACATTCTGTCATTCTAAGCATACAAAACGAAAACTGCATATGCCCCGCCCCTCCTTTCTTTTTTTGCTCGTGCTTGCTCACTGATATGTCTGTACAGGAGAGTTCTGTGAATTTTGGTTCGCGAATATAGATAAGGAACATTGACAAGACACTTTTGCTGCCTATGAATGTCTGCTCAGAAGTCTCTTCCATGATTGTGTGCAGAGCCAAAGAGGGCGACGTGGAGCTGTGTCGGCTGATGAGCTGGTGAGCGATACCAGTGCTATCAGCAGTACTAGTCAAGAAAGCAGCTGGAAGTCAGGAAAATCCAAGCCGGTGCTGGGCAAGCGCACTGGCATTCTCCTCAATTCATCTAGAACGGTGAGCAAGTCGAGCTATGTTTCCTGCGCCGCTAATCAAATTTTTTTTTCATTTCTTTGTGCAGAAAAACAGTAGTACAAGACATCCCAGCACACCTGCTGCTGCTTTCTCTGAAAGCTCTAAAATTATAGTATATTTAAACATGTAATAATAAGACTCATTGACATGAGTAATTGCTCGAGTTTCTTTTCTGGTGATCGTTTCTGATTGGCCAACTATGAACGTGTTCCTTGACGTAAGATGTACATGCTCGTATCGAAGCTTCTTGAGAGTGTAATCTCTTATAGTTATGTGATATGTGTCAGATTAAAATAGCGGTGTACATTGCATAACTTACATGAGTATCAACGATTGTGCTGGTATGTATGATGACGCACATACGAAAGTGGGTTGTGTTTTACCTGTACGTTAGATATCAGTGAAGTGTGACTGGTCCTTATCACTATAAATGCATTGTAAGCGTTACTCACGCTGCTAATCACAAGGTTGCCCAATAAAAGATTCAATAACCTATCAATGCTTTGGATGCAACATTCATCACTTAATTCACAACAGTGTGACGATAATGGGAATCAGAGTACAACTCTCAATATTTAGGCCAGTTAATCTTACGACTGAAAAGTAACATTGAACCTGAAGAACAAGAGTTCACCCGAATTCTATGTACCTTCTTTTGTTAGATAAAATATTACAATCTATGAATGGACTACAAAAGCTGCATTGTACATCAATGTTATTGTATAATACAGTTATATGGCAAATATTACTTATCTTTTTGTCCTTCACTTTGAAATGAACCCTTACCTATAATACACAAGTGGTGGCTGTTTCTGAACGGCTATTACCACTTTCAAAACTGAAATTTAGCTCGAGCATCTTCTAAAGGTGATAAAAGTTGGTTTCTGCCTGGGAAGTAACGCTAACGTGAGCCTGTACCAATGTCACACAGGCACTTGTGATTGCTCTCAGTGAAAATCTAGGATCAGGCTCGTGGATTAAGTGCTGTACACGGTGGCATTTAGTTGTCACAATCAGGCCAAATCACAATCGGACCTAGTCACGATTAGGACAAACACAATCGGCATTACAATATCGGGGATCTGGTTTTTTGATCACGATTTTGGTGATGCCTGCACGAACCTCGATTCGTATTTGTTTCGACCATACTGTGTCAGTAATTGGTGACTGCACTCATGAAATGCGATAATCATTTGCCCAGGTTGCAATTTAACTTCTGTATTATACAGTCACTGGGATGGCTTTGGGACACAACTAGCAATAATGGTGCTTTGGGCTGCTTTTCAGGACAAAGAGATGCGTACCCTGACAGAGTTGCTCAACAGCTACGACCAGAATGGCATCCCTAACCAGCCAGGGCTTCTTACCTTCCGACCTTCTTCGTCAGAGGAGAAGTTTCGACTGGAAGATAACTGGACCTGCATCGTCGACAATCCCGAGGTGAGAATTGGTTTATGTACTCATTGTGCTCGGATTCACCTCACTAGCTTAAGCTTGTATGTTGCTATTTTTTGCTCTCATCGTTGAAGATATGCTCTGTGATTCATTGTTAAGAGTAACATTAACCCAGACATCAAAAAATCATGGCCAGTTGTTTGATGTCATCCTACATCTTGCCAGAAGTGGCTGATAAACGCATCGGATGCTGATATCTGTTCATCAAAAGTTTAAACTTCCTTCTCGCCTTTGTTTACCCATTTATTCACAATAAGAAAGATAATCACAATAAGAAATTATCGGCATAGTTTTACAACGTCAATACTTCATGCCAAGCACTATGGCAGATACCATCATAAACTTCATTTCCAGACATAAGCATCTGCAGCTTTAATCGCACTGTGGCAGAACTTGTCAGATTTTCTCATATGTGCCACTATGTTTGAATTTCACTGTCTCCGTATCCCGCATTGGTACATGAAGCCAATAAAACCATAGGGAGTGCCAACTATGCTTGCTGTTAAACTAATTGACAACCTAAGGCTATCTTTACAAATTGATTTCCTTGAGGCTGCATTGTCTTTCGGCTTGGTTGCGGCTAAGAAAAATTCAGCACCTCGGTACTTTTGGCTGTTAAAGTATTTCAGGAACACGCAAGAATCTTTACAAACTTTGAATCTAAGTTGTAATGCTGTGATGGTCAATGTGCATGCATTTTTAACACCCTTTACTGATTTACCTTTTTTCTGTTTGCATCTTCTTGTTCCTGCTACCCAGTCCCTTCCAAAGCGGGTACGGAACCAACAGGATGCCATATGGGAGCTCATTTCTACTGAAGTCTCATACATTCGCACTCTTAAAGTCATCACTGAGGTAAGTAGGATTCGTGTTAATGATACTTATCAAATGTGGTCAGCTCCATCTTGCCTTATGTGTGGCAAGGAATGCTGTTGAAATGGTAGTGAATGTCCACTTCTTAACCCTGTGTGCATTAATGCTATTTTGAAAAATATGAAAAGTACACAAACTTGCGAGTTTCTTCTTGCACAAGAAAACTTTGTGTGTACAACTGAAAGTACACGCACAACACAAGAAACTGTTGACCTCGGTTAATACGTACCTGCTTTGTTGTCCTTGTATGGTATGCACTGTTTCCTAAAACAATTAGTTCTGTGCTGACAAACTAGTGCCCTGTTGCATTTAGTCTGTGGCACCTGCTATATTTGCTTCGTCATTAACGTTTGATGACCTGTGCTTTCTTCAAACATGCGACAAAGTCTGTGATGATGTATTGTGTAATTAATGTGTTATTTTTTGCCTTATATCATACGAAATAGGTAAACAGCCCATTTAGATGAATTACCTGCATTTTCTTTTGACCCTTTGCAGCTGTTCCTGGCGTGCCTATGTAACCTCCAGAGCGAACGCATTCTTCAAGAGGTGAGTGCTGACTGAATTGTGAAATGCCTTGAAGTTTACACCGCCATCTCTGACGAGATCGTTCAGTCACAGCACTAGAAACCACTCTCTAAAGGCGCAAGATCATCCGGCCAAATGTCCCGTGCGAGACATTGGGCTGGCTGATCTTGCAGTTTTAGTAAAAAATGCCCCGTGTCCCGATGTCCCGTGCCGTACAGGGGGCATTTTTACGACATAAGTTGCAGTGACATGTTACAGCTTCCCCCATTTCCCTGGCTGCTACATAAATTCTCATTTTACAGACCCAGCACAGTCAATTTCTGCGTTTCTCACTAGCATGTTTTCCTATCACTGGCAATTTTTTTTCATCGTTCCTACATACGATGCATGACTTTGGTTCTTTTTTGTCCCTGTGGGAAACCTGATGTAAAGAGCAATTATGTTGCATTTTCGGTGAAGTTGTTACATTGTCTTGACTGAGGTGGCAGAGCTGTGTCCCCCTTACGTATATTGCTATGTTAGCTCTAAATCTCATGCTTTTGTGCTGGCGTGTTAATTTCAATACAGAAAAAGTTATCACTTTTTTTTAAGGCATAACGATGTTGTATTGAGCTCATACTCTCGCGGAAAAGAGGTAGTAGAGTTGTTAGCACCCCATTTCTTTTTATCGTTTTTATCATTATTATTTAGTGATACTGCAGGGCAATAATTCTGCTCAAGCAGGAGGGGCACCGCAGCAAGGAAAAAGGAAATATATACTTGCCGAAGGAATGCTGCATAAGATGAATGTAACGCGTAAAAAACACCGAAAGCAACAATATTGCTAAAATTCGCAAAAATGTGAGTTGAAGAAAGGTCCAGTCACTCACCTTTTGTAAGGAGAAAAATGTACTTGGAAGCGTTTGTTCTAGGGGAAGATTGGTGCAAGCAGTCACTCGTGACTGCATTGTTGTGTTCATGACTTTGTCATATTCTTTGTAATTGGTATGGAAAAGCTCCTCTTATTTGAAGGCGTCTTACCGAAATGCGCCTGTACTTCTTTCTGAAGATCGACACAGAGCACATGTTCAGCAACATCCTCGAGGTGTGCGAGGTCAACCATGTGCTGTGGGACAGCTGCCTGTTGCCGACGCTGACGGCTGCACGCACCAACCGGACGCTCCTCAACCCCTTGCACCTGCGCGAGGGGTTTCTGCGCTTTGAGGAGACGTTCCAGCCGTACATGAAGTACTGCCTCGAGCAGACCACCTGTCTGCACTATGTCAAGGAAAAGAGGCTCGAGAGCGATCTCTTCAAGACCTACGTGGCGGTGAGCTCCTCTTCTGATAGCACTTCTCTCAATTCCTGAGTCACCGTTGAATGGTAAATGTCGTTTCCAGCAACGTTTTGTCGCTTGCACCTTTCTCTTGAGCTTGTGCCTCGTTTCGATCTTGACAACAGTGCAATGTGACCATAACTGCAGATGCATGTTGCAGACCAGTGGCTATTCTGTCTCAAAGCTTAAAGTTAGGAAAAACTTTGCAATTACAGGAACATTGAGAAACCATAAATTAACCACATCCCATGCAGTTGGGTGTCGCGTAGCTTTCCTGGGTCTACTTTCCCATGCTGTTTGTTCTTCAAACGGCCTTCTGTGTCAGCCTTACACATGTCCAATACCTGTCTCCTTGCATTTTCTTCATGTGCTAGGCTGGTACCGAACGTCATTTGAAGAACAGCACGGGAAGGTAGATCTGGAAAGACTGGATAGGGGCAAAGCATGCAGTGTGTGTCTTGAGAGATTTAGATGAGGCACTAGTGGTGCTGAGCCTGAAATTGGGCTTCTAGGGGAAGGTGTCACTAACGTCATAGAAATGTTTATGCTCTAATAATGTCGTTGGTTGTTCTCTCGGGCTAACCTCTGCCTTCATTTTTAGTGGACCGATCGTGAGTAGTAGGATTTGACTGCACGACATACCGTAACGACAGGAGACACCGACAAGCCCATTCCCCCAAGGTGCTTTGCACCCAAAACGAAGTGACGCCTGTTTGCATAGGATGTAATTCAGAGTTTACCCACCATAATCTCTTGATTCAGCCAGGCTTCCTTGAGGAAACCTTTTGTTTTTGCCATCTCGGGCAAGCGATGTGGAGCGCCAGTATCCAATCAAACAGTGGCATCGCTCTGAACACTACGTGAACGTCATCTCGAGCTTAGAGCTTCAAAAAATCCATGAAAACTTTGCTGTGATGTGCACCTACATTTCATTTATACTGGATTTGCATTACATGCTGGCTATTTCATTTGTAGAATGACTTTTGCACTTCAAAGATTTCATAAATGTTCGTGCACGCTTGCAGTGGTGCGAAGCTAGGAAAGACTGCGAACGGCTGCGCTTCACAGACCTCCTGGTCAAGCCCATGCAGCGGCTTACCAAGTACCCACTGCTGCTCAAGGCCATTCATAAGAAGACTGACGACGAGGAGGCCAAGAATGCCCTCGTTGAAATGGTGAGTGTGCAAGCCTTTGACCAACGCATGAACGTGACTGGCCCGTCATAGCTTTCGGTACTTCTGTGCAAATAAACTCATTATGAATACCGTAATTACTCGAATCTAACGCGCACCTTTTTTCCGGTTAAGCGAGTTCATAAATCGCATGCGCGTTAGAATCGAGTACAAAAAAAAAGAATACGGTCATTCTATTGCCATCGGCATTTCCAAAATAACCGCCCCCTACGTGCATCGGCACGGCATTTCTGCCTATGTGTTTCCCATGTGCGGCACTTCGTACGTGTGCTGAGGAGCTCGTCATCTTGTAGTGCATTAGCATCGACGGCATGGAAGGGCTGACTCCAAAAACTCGAGTGCACCACGATGCCGCTTTTAAAAGAAAAGTCATCGCATGTGCAGAAACGAACGGAAATCGGACCGCATCGCAGCCGTTCGGAGTTCCCGAAACGTGCGTGCGGGACTGGCGGAAACAAACGCAGAAGATTGTCGACAGCAAAGCTTCACGCAAAGGCTTCAGTGGACCACTGGAGGGTCGGTTTCCGCAAAATAAAAAGCTGCTTGGAGAGTATGTGCTTGAGCAGCTAGCAGCACAGCGGCCTGCGACGACAGAACTCTCCAAGTGCGAGCTATGCAGTTAGCCTTAGAAAAAGGGCTAATGCGGAGCCAGTTTAAAGCGAGCAGGTGCTGGCTAACTAACTTTACGAAGAGGAAAGGCTTTTTCCTCCGAAGGGGAACAGGCATATGCGAAAAGTTTTGCGGAGGGGTACGATGAAAAGCTTCACAGTTTTCACAGGTTCGTCCTAAACTTGCGGCACAACAACGGCTACCTGCTTGGGCAAATCGGGAATGCCGATCAGACGCCTCTTTACTTCGACATGCCTGGCACCACAACTGTCGAGAATAAGGTGGCGAAGCAAGTTCGCGTGGTGACATCGGTCCACGGTAAAACTACAGTGACGGCAATGCTCTGTTACATGTCAGATGGGCACAAGCTTCCCCCGTACCTCACATTTAAATGGAAGACGCTCCCGAAAGGAGTCGTTTTTTCGAGTGGTGGGATCAGTGCGGGCCGGCGAGAAAAATGGGTGCGCGTTGCAATCGATGTCTTAATTTTTTTTTTTTTTCGTCGAGGATATCGGGTGCGTGTTACAGTTGAGGGCGCGGTAGAATCGAGTAAATACGATAACTTAGAACAGGTGTTCATGCATTCAGGAAGAGAACTTGCACGAGACTCATTAGAGACACTCAAAGTGTATGTTGAAAAAGCAAGGCAATCTCAATGCTCAATTGCAGGCTTCCCTTTCCGTTTTGTTTTCACATTACAATAAATCATTTCAGGCACTACTACACCAATGCTGCTAATCTATAGTTATATTTATACATCTTCCAATTCTATTTACTGAGGACAAAACCAGGGTGTTTCTTTTTGGGCGTAATGGAGCACAATGCTGCCTCTTTTCTGGGAGTGCAGTAGAGCACTCCATTCACTTTGCACTCATATGCTGCCAGGAAAAAAATGAAGTCATGAGTGAATGTGTTTTAAGTGCCTGCTGGCCTTGTAAAAACGCTTGCGTCACTAAATACTGAAAAATGTCTTGGTTGGAAAGAAATACATCGCTAATAATTGTTGCTAATAATGAATGCAAATAATGTTCTTGACATAGCTTGATCTTACGTATTCTGTTCCAATGGCTTAATATCTTTCGGGGCACAAAAATGTTCTGGCTAGTGTTTAGTGCATATATGTGGCCTGCTGTATTGAATGTTTCCAGCTTGATTCTTTGTTCACTTGTTCACTACATCTGCGTTACCCTTTTTCTTTTCCCTCTCCAGAATGAGTGTGTGGAAGCCTTCGTGTACGCTGTCGACGGCAAGCTGCGGCATCTTCACGAACGGGACAGGCTCAAGTCAATAACGAGCCGCATCGAAAGCTACGATCCATTTGACATCAACAACGATGAGGTTGAAAAGGTGCGTCGCACCGCCGCTCAACGCGGTGACATATGCATTGTGTCTTTCCAAATGCATGCTGGCTTTGTTTGCCGTGGATGTTTGTCGAATGTAGCATTTTCCATCCGATAACTGAAAGATCGAAGGGCTAGAGTTTTCTCAAATGAATGGGATTTTGTTGTGTGAATGCTTTGCTAGATGCTCGGTAATTGTGCAACTACACAACAGCAGCCTGTTTATGTCATATCTTCACTTGTACTTATCAGTGGTGCTTTGTACACTGTCCCTGTAGGATGTCACAAAGCATGTAAAGATTACTCATGGAATCTGGCTCTTGAAACAGAGCTAGCCCGAAAGCTTCCTATTCATTACCGTATTTGCTAGATCGCAACCCATGTTTTTTTTTCCAGGCTTTCATTGCTTATACCTATGTCTATTGTTATGTTTCAATGAAACATACTTGGAAAAGTATACACCAATGCATCCAACTTAACCGTAAACTTCTAGCTGTGGTGGTTTCATGATATGATTGGCTGTGGGTGCACACATATGTTATAATATATAATCTTTGCAAAACGAGAATTTTGCTGAGCACTCAACCTCTCGTTATCCTTGTACCGTAAAAAACGGAATATGGTTTGACCCCCGCAAGCTTTTAATCTCCGAAAAATAAATTTGTTTAGGTCGCAAAGTATCACGGCACACCCTTACCTTAGTAAATACGCGACACGACCAGCTGCATTGTGGTGACATTTCTTTTTATTTCGACACTAATGTTATGTAGTTAAATGGCAGAAGGCCACAAAGTGCTGTCACTCAGACTCGTCTGAACTTGAGTCCGACGACGTCTGTTTTCAACTAGTAACATTCCATAGTGCATTGTCCTTCGTTCTATCCAACGCGTTACTGATGCCGCATTTGCAGAAAGACGGAAGTACGCTGCCTCAGTGCAAAGCCCTTCCCGCACCCACGATGGCAATTCCTCGAATTGCGCCCTCGTTGGGCCCAGAGTCGTGTGCTGTCTCGAGAGCTTTGACAGCGGTTGCACTTCGCCGTTACAAGTAGCGATCTTGCACACAGCTCCCGGACGAAATTCGGCGAGTAGCGTTTCTAGTTCAGGGTGCACTGCAGTCTGTCCCCGAAACAATGTTTTTTGTCGTTGTTGTTGTTGTTGTTGCTGCAGGATGAGATGCATTGCTTTTGGCTCATTCCAGTTTCGGACGCTTTTCCCCTAATGCACCGAATTCAAGTTGTGCCGCCAGGTTGCCATGCGCTTCAGCATACTTCACAACTATTTTTCTTGAAAGCCTGTGGTAAACTGCCGTTGACTACCACTCATTTCTGAAGGAAATAGAAAGAAGAAAACAGGAGACTGACAAAAGATAGCCAAAGCAAAATGGCATTGCTAGAACACTATAGGCCTTACCTAGCCTTGTCCAATGGCGCCACTGCTGATGCTCACGATGGCAATAGAGGCTTTCGACTTCAGCTGCCCATTGTTGCGAAACTTCCACATTTTTTTCTGCCAATGACCAGTATAAAAGATGAGAGTCAACTTTGCATCGCATTTTGTTTTTTAATTCGACCTATATTCCTGTTTATGCTAGTTTTATATTTTTTTTATAAACAGACTGGAATGTTTACTCTGGCATTACGATAGAGTAAACGTGGTAATTAAAAATGTGTATATTGGGATCAAGCAGATACGATTTACATTGAAACTAAACTACTTCTTGCGGGAATGTGCTGGCTTGAGCATAATCTGCAATCTTGAGTTAGCCAACTTTGTTGTGACGCCAGTCAGACTGAATTGTTTTGGTTGCGGTTGGTACATACAGCATTGTGCCCTTGTTTCCTCTCTCGTAGGCCCTGAAAGCTCACTGCATGTTGGACCTGACTTGCCCCATGCCGAGTTGTGGCAACCAGCAGAACAGGCAGCTCTTGTTTGAGACATCAGGTGTCAAACTGAAAGACGCTGGCAGTTCAAGCAAGGTGAGTGCTTTGGGATGCACTGAATATAAGGGGTACTGACTGGTGGGGTGCCCATTTTTGTTAAGCACCAACATATGAAGTTAAACTTATGCCTAAACTAGCTAGTTAGGCTAGCTAAACTTACTAGTTATGTATATGTGCAACCCTGAGAGTGTCAGCCTGTGCCATTCATGGCCAGGGTGGTGCACATTGAACTTTCATTTTTCTTGATGTTGTCGAGTAGTTCATGAACTTCATGAGCTATCAAGAATGCTACCTGAACTCGCCAAACTGGTTAAAGTCAAGACCCTTTCTATGAAATGAATTAGAGGAGGGGAATCTATTTAACTTCTTCTTTTGCCCAACAGCAGTGAATACCTACCTTATGGTTTCTTGTGTTCATGAGCATGCGAAATTATGTGAATCCTTGTGTGCACAACTTATTATATTTTCTTTTCATTGCATGAAACTGTTTATACCGCTCTCCTATTAATTTTTACTCTTATTTTAGCCTAGCAATGTGAGTAAGATCGTCTCTTAGCAAATTCTGTGCATGAAAAAAAAAAGTGATAGAAAGCGATTCGTCAGTCCTTTTCTTGGAGACCTTAGTGTAAGCTTTTCACCTATATTTGGAATTCACCACACAAAGTCAATTTCTCGAAGAGGAGAGGTGAGATGGAGAGAGAAAAAAACCAAGGTGAAAGGCAAGGTTTCCTTGGGTAGGTCCTTTAACGAGTAACGGTCGTAAGCTACTCTGGGTGGGTGTGAGGAAAAGGGGAATGGCATTCACAAAGTGCACTACAATGCTAAAGAAATCAAAGTAGTATTTTAGTAAAACCTGCATCTATCCTAAAGGTCAAAAGTTGCTTTTGAAGAAATGCCCTGACAGTGTTGGCTTGGCATTCATGTACAGTTGAACCCATTTATAAGAGACATGCTCCGGGTAGTGACTCTCGTCTTTTATGCGAGGCATCTCTTACAAGCGGGGTATCGCGTATGCATTTTCTTATTAACTCTTATTTCATTGTAGGCGCGCTGATGTCTATTATGCCCATTTGTCTCCTACATTAGTGTCTCTGTTATAAAAGAGTTTGATTGTACTATCAAACCAAGCACAGAGGATCAATCTAATCACTCAGTCAATGTAATGTCGGCTTAGTTTATACAGTGGACTCTCAGTAAATGGAAATCTGATAAACCGAGCTGCTGCTTGAATGGAAGAACTGCCTCTGATATGATTGGTTTAATCCCTGCGTAGTGCACCCACCCCAGTTAACCTCTCAGTAAATGAAGCTCCTGTTAAACAGAACACTTTTTCCCGGCCCCATCAGGTTCCATTTAATGACAGTTCGCTTTACTTATGTTGGCGATCAACTATATCGAGCTAAATTTTTGATTAATGTCTGCAGGTGGATGTGCACTGCTTCCTGTTCACTGACGTGCTGCTTGTCTGCAAGTCGCTGAGCAAGAAAGGCGACCGCGTGAAGGTGATCCGGCAGCCATTCCTCGTTGAGCGGTTGGTTACGTACGAGCTGCGTGACAACAGTGGCCTCATCGTTGTCTACCTCAACGACTTCGGTGTGGCTGCTTCCTACTTTCTCCTCTACACAAGCGATCCGCGAAGCTTCATGGACCAAATCCGCAGAGCACAGGTCTGTTGCTCCAGCTTTCATCATATCCTCTCACGTCTTGGGTCTCGCTTCTTATTTGGTGAATCGTTTGCCTGTCACAACGGTATCATGGAATGCGGCATTTCGCTACCGTAAATAAGACCACACATTTGATTTCCAACTACAGTTGATGAGTTCTACTAAATCGGAATCTAAAATTAACCCTTAATTAGATTTAAGTATAGCACTCATGGATTCAAATACGACTTTAAATTTTTCATTTTCAGTGTAACATCTAGTATGCACAATCTTTCGAAATAACCACGTCATCTCGCAGCGAATATAGTATATAAAAATAATGTTGGCTCTCATCGACATGTTTGAATCAGAATTACACTAATATTACATGGACTGAAGCCAGTGACAACGAAACTGTGCACGTTACGTAGCCCGAAATTGTGTTTTTATCACTCTCTGAGTACTGTACACATTTGGAAACACCTTGTGGATGCGATGAATCTGAAGACCTATTACACATAATCTTTTTAAAGTGTGTGTGGCTATGGTGCATTGCTTTGGGGCAAGTAACCACAGAATTACCCCACTATCAGAGTTTATTACCCTACGAATCATTCGCTCCAAAACTTCTTCGAATACTTCAAGTATGAGGGGGTTGCAGGCATTTGTCGCATGGTTTGAATTAAGTGCTTTCTCTTGCCTCGCGTCTCAACAAGTGTGCTGAAAGCTACACGGAAAGAGATGGCAAAGTGGCAAAAAACTGCACTTGTATGTGTCATGGCCATGAGGTATTTCTTGTGATCACGGGCAGCATGATCACTAGTGTATTTCTACAGTGCATAGCTCTAGCACTACAGAGTGCGGGGCAGGTACGTAGTGGCATCCTTTATTGATTATGGTAACTATGCTGTGTCCGAATGTTCGATCATTCATCGGTGTGCACTGTAATGGACATTCTTCTTAGTGGGAACTCACAAAGTATCTCACCTCTACTGCTAGCAAGCTGCTAAATAATGTAAAGCATTTACACCCTGGTCTTCATACTCGTGCAAAGAGCTTAACAGTCTCTTTGCTGAACACTCTCTAACATGCCCATTTGTGTGTAACAGAGCTTAACAGTCTCCTTGCTGAACACTCCCTAACATGTCGATTTGTGCATAACATTGCAGGTCTCTGTTCAACCAGTAAGCAAGTGTTTTGGGACGTGAAACCCTAGATATTATTATAATCCATAAGCAACTGTATAAGTAAGGTGTACAGTGTACATTACCCCCTGCCTTTCACTTGGGTTGACGTGCATCTTGACCGAATCACAGGAACAGTATCGGGAAGCGAAGTCACAGGCAACGAGTGAGAAGCCCCAGCTGGGGTACCTCCAGGACTTGGACGACGAGGACGATCTGGACATCCCCCGCAGCGCATTGCTCGTCGCCGCCCGCTCCCCACGTTCGTCGAGCCACTCAAGCTTGGTCCATTCACACAGTGGATCCATTGACATGAGCGACCCGGCCTCAGTGGCCTCCATGGCTGGACCACCCGTGCCTTGCCCAACACCGCTGTTTGTGAGTGAAGCATTACACTATTCTGTGTGAACTTCTCATTTGAATGTCTAGTAAAGGAAGGGCCCAAGCTAGAAAGCACTGCGAGGTCAATGTGTCAAATTGTTGATGGCTTAAACGAAATATCAGAGACCGATTGCTACCAAACATTGCTTTGTATAAATTCATCATGACTTAGCATGTATATACAGTACAGCTCATTTACGCAAACCTTATTCATTCTAATTTAGTTATTCTATTCCTGACCAAGTGGAACATTTTCATCATATTTAATACTTGATTCACAACAGCCATGCCGTGAATAGTTCGAACGACGCCAACATAGCTAGCTTTCACATTGGCAATCAGTGGCTCGACTAAGCAAAACTTGGTGAAACTTTTTAGCACTATGATCATCATGATCATTCTCTGATTATTGCTGTCATTGATAGGGTGCCGTAGAGGTGTAGCAATTACGGTCCTCGGCTGCTGAACCAAAGGCGGCGGGGTCGATCCTGGCTGAGGGGGTCGCATATCAGTCGATGCAAAATGCTAGAAGTTTGTGCACTGTGCTATGTCAGTGCACTTTAAAGAACACCAGATAGTCAAGATGCCCGGAGCCCTTCACTATGGCATGACTCGCAAACATTTCGTGGTTTTTAGGACGTAAAACTACAGATAATGTGTTGTCATGGATTGACTTCTCAACTACACCACCCTCGCACCTCGAAGGCTAAGGCTGAAGGTTGAAGAAATGTCATGGCTGCCCTGTACATAAATGGTCATTTTTAGAACTGGTTGGTTGCGATTGGCATGGACACTGATAGTCCACTGCTGCAAACACTGGGGCCTCGCATTTCTATCATTTATGCTATTATCTCCCACGTGTGACACTTCTCCAGCATTTCTCTCAGTCGAAACAGTCATCTAAGTGTGAGAAATGGTTAATAGTATAATTGTTGAAACACGTAAAGCTCCGTGATCGGCTCCATACCTGCAGCAATTTAAACACGTAAAGCTCCTTGATTGGCTCCATACCTGCAGCGATTTTGGTAGTCCGGTAAAGAAAGAAGGCTGCAAACACTTGAAATGTGTTGCCACATTTTGGTAAGCACACAAAATCACAGTTGTCTATAATTGAAAGATGCAGCTTGTTTATGTGAGTTATTGTAATGAACAGTGCCAGTTTCAATCGCATCAATAGCTCTGCTACAAAAACTCAGTGCACTCCCTTGGAACCTGCGTCACTGTTTGCCTCCCATAGGAAGACCATACGTGTGAAATTCTCTTATATACCAACTATTTGTGACACGAGTAACGCACATGCCCACCTTAAAGTGTAACGTTTGAACACTAATAGCATTAAATTGCAACAATAGCTGGGTCTGCTACGTAATTCAAATTGGCTTTATTCATTGTGGGCAAGTGATGTATTATCACAAGCGTCTTAAATGGATTCACATGAGAGAGAAAGCTATGAGGGATGGCCATGAAATACTAGCTTGCAGGTAGAGATCAAAGCACCCTTTGCATTGTTTGTAAATGTTTGCCATGGCTGTCTCAGATTTCCATTAAAATAAAAAGTGGTTTCCATCTGGCACGAGTCCCTCATTGCTAAGGTGAAGCAGCTAAAGAAATATTAGAACTCCTGTCATATTGCTAAGCAGGGTATTCTTTTTTTTGTCAAATACGTGGAGTTGGCTAAATGGCAGGTGAGCTTTCAGGTTGTGTACCTGTCTTGGGAATGTCATGTACCTAGTAGGAGTGTTATCAAATAGCTCAAGCAAAGATAACAATCGCTTGTTCGGAAAAAAACAGTACACACTAGTGAATTTCATTTTAAAAGAACTGCTCTTTCCGCTCGTTTAATTATGCTTTCGTACTTCCTTTAGTTTATCACTTCCAATATCTCAAAGCTCTGTGGCAGGCATCTCCTTGATATTCTAACTAACAAGATTTCACTGTGCTGCTGAAGCAGCCTTGGCCAGACTGCAGGGCTGGTGATGGTATAGCTTCTTTCATAATCTGTGAAGATAAGCCCTAAAGGTGCATAATGTTTTCAGCATTCTACAAATTATGTCTGAAAGGTTGTCTGTTGTCTAACATGCAATAATAAATAAAGGGAATCTATTTGTCTACTACAGCAGGGAGCAGCTGCTGCTGGTGGCCAAGGCCGAGCAACAAGTTTCGAGCTTGGCGAGCTACGCAATCCCAGCATGACTTGCGACGACCTCGATGAACAAGGAAGGTCGCGCAGCATGGAGACACGCACCTCAGGACCAGTCTGTGTCACAGTGACGTCACCACGGCCTGAGCGGCGGGCTTTCCTTCTCAAGGGTGCTGGCAACAATGCGACGTCGCCCAACACGTTGACTGTGACCATTCCCTTCACCCACCAGCAAGAGGTGGAAGAGCCCAAGGAATACAGGAGCTACCCAACGTCTCCAACCATACAGGTGGGCAGGCTCTATGCAGTGTTGATGCAAGCAATATCATTTACAATGCGATAATGCAGCTCAACCTATTCTTAAGGCTCCTGTACACTCAAGACTTTCCTGACATGTGCACGCAAAACGATTACATTTTGTCATGTCAAGCCAGTGATGCTATGCCAAGCGCAAATCGTGCTCCCGTGTACTCGAACCAGTTACAATGCAATGACGCGATCCCAGCTGGAGAAGCACATGCACAGTAATGCAGAAAACAACACATCCCACCGTCTGTAAGGAGCCCACATAACAGCCCATGAAATAGCTTCCTTTGCATGTGGGTCCAGTGCAGCTGTGCGTGCTCAGCCCACAACATTGTAACAGCTATTCAAAGCCAGGCAACATCCAAACGAGCCAGAAACTATCGGTCTCTTTTGGGAGCTACTGGACTCTAAGGGTGGTACTTAGCCTTTGTGATGTCTCTATGTTATGCAGGGATGTTAAATCGCAGTATGTCTGAGCCCTTAAAAGTATATTGTTTTTGTCGCGCAAGACAAACACGGCAGAGGCTAAACCTGCACCTTGTCTTTCTTCTGTGACTGCTTGTCTGACCATTTTTGTCATTCTTCTGTGCTAACGTAGCCTGCCTATAGCCTCCCTCCCCTTTACTTGTGACAATAAGCATGCAGAAGAAGCATTTTCTCATTAGAATGTTGTATGTTCTTCAAACACCTTTCCTTTAACTTATTTTGCAGGTGCCAGTCATGTCATCACTGCCTCCTAAGAGCCTCTCGCCGACATCCCGCTTTGCAGCCGTCTTACCGCAGCCTTTCCCGGGTTACAACCAAAGCGGCGTGAGCAAGCCGCCGCTACTGAAGACCAAGAACGTGTCAGGCCTGGTGACTCACAGCGCTCCACCCAGCGAAGGCCCGAGCCCTGTGCACAGCCTTGAGGGTCCCAAGCTCCCTGAGGAGGCCGTAAGTCCTCCCGACTCTGAGGACGAGAGTGGCCGTAAGCGCATTTCCCGAAGGACGTGCCGCCCAGAGAGACGACACCACACGGCTGACTCCTTCGAGCACCTGAAGAACCAGCGGGACCCGTCGATCCACAAGCGCTTGTCGTGGAACTGTGGACAACAGCACGATGCATCATCTGGCGTGTCTGGCACATCCAGCCGCCTTGTGCACACGTCGGATGCTTTCCTCAAGAACAAACACGTTGCCAAGTGTCTCAGCAGCGAATCTGTCTACAGTTCTAGTGGTGTGAGCAGTACGGGCTCCCTTTTGTTTAGCAGTGCGGGAAGTGGCGATGCCTGCGATTGTTGCTGCGATGCCACCGTTGTGGGGCCAACGGACGACCAAAAGCGACTCACCAATGGCGACGAGGACGAGGTGCAGCCATCTTCAGCCGAAGGGCACCACCAGCTCAAGACGTTAGGGGCACCTGGAGGTTGCATCAAGATCGACGTGAGTGAAGTGAAGGACGGGATCTCCTCGGTGCAGATAGTGGGTGCGGAGGGCATGCCAGTGGCCCCCGGCAAGCCGGGCAAGCCATCCCGCTCAGATCTGCAAAAAATGAAAGAGTTCCTCCTGAACAGCCGCTCAGTGGAAGCATCGTGAGTTGTTTTTATTTGTTCTTAGTCTTGCAGCGCATTTGGAACACCGTGTGTTCCCACGCCTGAGGAATTTGTTGTTTGGTCAACTTTAAGTGCAGTAGTTGTCTAATTTCAGCTTACAAGCCAGGCACCTTCGCTGTGCCGTTCTATCTTGTTTGCTTGAGTCACTTGCTTTGACCTTCTTGAACAGTGTGGAAATTTCGCTGCTGTGCAAGTAGCAAAATTGCAGTTCTGTGCAGCATTATGCAGTTCTCACGATCTTACACGTGAGCCATCATCAATCATACTGGAGATATTTAGAAGGTTGCTCGCAGCATTAGGGTAATTGCAAACGACAAGCAGAGCACATGAATTTGTTGGTGGCAATCGTGTCTGGAATATAGACACCCCTGCCCAGCAGGGAATTGGCCAAATTTAAAACAAAATGTTTCGTACCCTCCCTTGCAAGAAGGATTTGTTTTGTAAGGTATGCATGTGGCCATATAACGGGCACATGCATACCTAATAGGTGTTGTTAGTAACATTAATGACCACAGGCTCTGGTTCTGGTTTCTGATTAAATGCCCAGTCCACGACTTTTGTGTCTTAAAGCAAAAGAGAAGGAGAAGTAAAAAAAAAATGAGCAGTGTTCCTCTCAGGAACAGCAGGTGCTTTCTAAGCAACGGTAATTAGGGCTACGGCACTGCTTGGGAACACTAGAACACGATAGTTAAGCCTGACAGTGCCTGCACATTTACCCTTTGCGGGTCAAACTTTAGGTGAAATGCACTATATATATATATATATATTGTAGAATTAAGTTTGTCAGGCGATTCTATTTGAGAAAACCGTTTTCTTAATTTTTTTTGTGCGATTGAAATGTGACTAAAAGCATTTTTGTTGTAAACACACAGTTTGTTAGGGAGTAACATTGAGCAAAATCCTAAAGAAAACACTTATAAGATTTTTTTATAAAAGCCATTGTATCCCACAGTGCGCACACACATGAACACAGAGTTATATATTTGTCCTGAATCAATGGCATGAAATGGAAACGTGAATGTAAACACTCGTAGAAACGTTAAATGGAAACACTCACGTTTCTTTGTGCTGCAACATAAGACCTGTGTATTCCAACTGGCCAATCAGCTTGTTCTTTGTCCGGCCCACCAGCCTGTTTTCATACTTTTCTTATGTTTGTCTGTGCAAGTTCCTACTCTCTACTTTGCCTCTTTTTTTTTGGCTTGTTTATATTTAATTTTTACACCTGTGTGGCCTTACAAAAAAAAAGTTTTGGCAATTTTTCTGGTTCTGTACCGTCTATTTGAAAGCAGCACCTGGTTTTTGTTGCGTTCACAACATGCTAACTCTGTACAGCACACTCTCATTAAACGTAACCTGAAGGGACTAAAAAAAATAGTGTTCCATTTAACAGGAGCTCGGTTTAATTCGAGATGAACCAGGGTGCAGAATACAAGCTCAAAACCAATCTTGTCGAAAGCACTTGTTTCATTTAAACACAGTTTTGTTTAACAGAGTTTCGTTTACTGAGAGTAAGCTGCATACAATTGAACTGCAATATAACGAACCCAGATATAACAAAATTTTGGTTATAACCAAGTAAAGGAAGAATAGCCTTGCAATATAGTGTTAGTAATATACTTTTATGATGAGTTTTTGAATACCGTATTTACTCGCATAATCGGCGCACTCGCATAATAGGCGCACCCCTAGTTTGGTCGTGGAAAATTCAATTTTTTTTTAATTCCGCGCATAATAGGCGCACCCCGAACTTGGCCGAGATCAGAAACGATTCTACCCCCCAACGGTACAGTTGGAACGCGGTCCCCGTACCCTGAAGAAAAAAAGAAGGCAAATCGACGAGCAAATAAAAAAAATTCGAAGTGCAACGACCTAACCAACGTGTTTGTTGAAATAAAACTTGAAAAAAAAAAGTGTCCGTGAGCGAAAAAAAAAACCGGCTGTTCCATCAATTACTGATACCCCCCAAATCGCCGCGCTTTTTGGAGGTCACGTGTACAACGCCGGGAGCTCGATCGCCATCACCACCATCAGAGAAAAAGAAAGAAACGCCATTTTGCAAGCGGTGTGCGTATGTTGTGGTCGTGTATTGAACTTTGGTTCCATCATGGGGAAGTACGCGAGGAAGTCGTCAGGAAAAGCTTCAAGAAGACGGGTATCTCGAACGCACTAGATGCGAGTGAGGATGACATGTTGTGGGTTGCGGATGATTCGGACACCGAAAACGAATCCCCGCTTGGCGAGGATGAATGTGTGATCTCCGACTTCGGACTCCGGATAGGGAAAAGGAGGAACAGCTACTACTTTTGTGTAAATAAATTTTACGTGTGTGTGTGCAGTTGACGGCTCTCGTTTGTTCATTAAAAGGTACGTAGGTATGTTTGTTTTATGCTGAATTAATTGGTAAACGATGAAGTCACCTTTTACTTGACAAGTGTGCAGATTTAAAGCGCGAGAACCGAGTTGAAAAAATGTTCGAAAATTTTACCCCGCGTAATTGGCGCACCCCTAACTTCGAGCCTGGATTTTCTGAAAAAAAAAGTGCGCTATTATGCGAGTAAATATGGTATAATGAACTTATTTGCATTTAAAATTGAACTTCATTGTAGTGAGATTTGAGGGTATCTCTCAATTGCAAGAAAGAGTTAGGTATACTTAGAGAAACAAAGGGGCAGGAAATGAAATGAACACATACATTTGTTTGCCTTTTTCGTCACAGTGCACTCTGTGCCTGCTTTTCTAAGCCCCTCCTTGTCCTTCTTTCCCGTCTGCTTGTATTATTCTAGTGAGGTATGACGTCATTAGTCACCAGGGGAGAGACTGCACAGACACGAGATGGGACCGGTCCTCATCATTCATGGCTCGGCGAAAGAAAAACAGCAATTGTACAGCCTTCACTGTTAGTTACAAACTGTGCCCCCCCGGCCACGAGAGAGGGCATTTGCATTCGCCGTTCTCCGAGGTGTCAGCCACTGGAAACGGAGTCTCACCGCTGTTCTCGTCTACATATCTCTACCACGGCGTGTCGACAGCACTCTGCGACGGCGCAGTTGAATGATGACCACATTGTTACATTCGTTTCCGATAGAGTGTCTCGAACGGCTTGAGCCGAGATTCTTTCTTGTTTTTGGTGCGATGATGCCGTTTCGATGGCACCACTCTGACACAAGATCCTGTCCCTGTTTCGTGTTGCCATTTGCACTTTGCCATGTGTGTGTTTGTGCATTTGTGTGTGTGTGCGTGCAGCAGTCTGCTAGCAAGGCTGTTCCACTGGTGTAGTAAGTACCTGGTCATTATACCTAAACACTATGCATAAGGTGTTAACTACCTGTGTATTCCTTTGCTTCCCGTACTTACGATGGCCAAGAAGCAGATTACGCAGACGGTCAGTCCCATAAGCAAAACACTTGCGCAGTAGTTGCAGTCGTTTCGACGGGTCTCTCCTTTCTTACTCTCGACGAGTGTACTGAGTGCACAAATAATTTTAACTCTCTCTCAGGTGAGCCAGGCCAAACACTTTTAGTATTTCGTGTTGCTTTTACTGATTTTTTAAAATTAATTCAGAAGCTTTCCTTGGCACGTGTTCAGCACATTTTGTTAAAATTTTCGAGAATCAGCTTCTGCTCTTCAAGCTTATTTGATTTATTTGCTTGCGACAGGGTCGGAAGGGCATGCGCCGCTTGAAGCTCAGTGTTTAGTTTTTCCTTCTGTCTTGGTACTTGCACTATGCTGCAACAGCATAAGGCTTGCGTCACTCTTGAAAGATTGCCGCATTACTGAATCCTCTCATTCTCAAACCAGAGTCTTATCTAGCATACATGGTGCTCGAGGCAGGTGCTTTTTTGCGTTTTCACACGTCACACCGAGATTCTATGCAGCAAAGTCACGTGACGTGCAATTTACACAGAACTTTGGTTGCGCACCACTTTGTGCTCTCGAGAGCCTGCCACTCTGTCGTCTCGTTTCACGTTTCGGATGCTTTTTGTAGGTACCATTATATATGTTACGTGCCCAACAGTCCGGAAGTAGTAGCGCTTTCCTTTGTTTTTTGCCATCTCTTTTTTTTTTTTTTTCGACCCTTAGGCCATTTATCGACTACTGCTCTGAATGCACGTTCACAACTCTCTAAGACTACGCTTCTCAATCTCCGAGCAGTCTAATCACTCTCAGCTGTACCACAGGTTTCGCCTTGGACCGTAATAATTGAAAAACTGAAAACAAAAATTGAAGCTCTGAGACTAGGTGCATTGTTGTCCTCCTTCGCACTCGTCTTTCGCGCTCTCTTGAAATGTACTTTCATAGTCCAGCAGCCACCGCCATTCTTGTTGACATTGCTCTCCTGAACGCTGCATTGCCGAATGCTTTGCCTGTCTGAAATATTGTGTGCTCCAAGGCATTTTCGATGGACGAATACTGCCCACATGGGTAGTAAAGAAACTCGACTGGCCATGATAATTATGACCGTTAATTTCTTTGAGAAAAGACTGACTTGCCTACAATGTTGTAAAGCTGCAATGGTATCAGTAAAGAGGACACACTTTTGCCTCTTTTGCTCCCTTTTTCCGACGAGCTGTGATACAGGTCATCAAATAAACAAGACACGATTCATAGCTGCGCTGACAATAGACAGGTTTTTGTCAGTGTTCCGATGAACGCGAATTGTCGTACAGCATGTAGATGTTCACTAGGCAGCAGGCTGCAAGAGCGATTTTTGCATTTGCAGGGAACTGCCTTGTGCTGTTGTTGCCAGCTTTCTATATTGTATAGATGCCGATGCCACGGTGACTTTTACACTGTAAAGCATCTAGTGTTTTCATAGACCTGTAGCTTAGTGACCTGTCCCCAGTAGTGGTTCTCGGAGTTGTTGTTATGAACAAAGGTTCTTAAAGCACTTGACTGTGTACAAATTAGAGATCTTCATCCTCCCCGCTCCTCTCGGCCGACTGTCACTATGAAGTCGGCCGCTCGTAGTGTGCACCATTGCCCTTGTGGAGTAACTCTGTTAATCTTGCGGCTGCGTTGACTTTGTATTATCTTGGGGGGCTGCAGTTGGCCATGCTTTTCGGTTTTTATTTTTGTATGCAATTCGTTGCGACTGCACATGTTTGAGACTGTTTTCTTTTTTTTTTTATGCAATGCATTCAATGCTGTAACAGTTGTCACTTGATGCATGAAGTCCAAATGAATTTTGTCATTTTGGGAGGCATTTCTACATGCCCCACTGGCAAAAGTAAATATATTGCTTCTCGTTTTCACTCGTATGTGGCATTGGCGGTTGCTGATAAAAATTCTGAGAAATTGTCGGGCATACTACAACCCTGGTCGCCACGTATGGCTTGATTGAACTGAGTACATTTTACCAATTGTGAGCTACCACTCGTCTCGTGTGCGATTGAAATTTCCATTTAAATTACTTATTCATTTGCACTGCTAAACTTTTTCAATTCATTTAAAAGAGGTTCATCTGTTTTATTCTTGACTTCGCAGTCTTTATGCCTCTTTTTGCCTGCACTACAGTTTCTCTTCTAATGAGTCACCCTCGCGATGAAGCGTATTTTTGCTGCCATGGCGCTCTTTTCTCGGCACATAGCTCAAGACACTGAAGCACAGTGTTCCCTTTGGGTAGACTCAGGCACACTATCACCGCATCTCTTATAGAATGCACTGGCACCTGGTTTAGACATAGCTGTACTGAGCACCTTGCTTTCTCAACCTGAGGGTTGTTAGTGCCCTATCGCAATATGTCGGAGGTCGGTGTCCTCCAGAGATGTGCTGGCTGTGGTCTGAAGCACACTGCTCACACTGCTTGTAAATCTAAGCTTAATCTGCTCAGTTGGACAACTTTTCTTGTAATGATAAAGGGGGTCTATCTTTTTTGTACTGTTACGAATTCGATCTTAGCTTGACTCTTTTTCTGGGTAACATTCTATTGACAGCCTATTCCAAAGGCATCAGTAGCACACACTGTGCAAAATAGCCAAGCGAACATCCTTTCTTTTCTTCATTGTTATTTTTTTAGTGTTGGTTTGCTGATTTCAAAACACCCTCAAACAATGAATAATGGGGCAGGCAGCATTGGGCGAGTACATTCTTCACAGCAGTTCTGCATTGGACCAGTCGGTTTGTGCAATCTGTGCACCCGACGCCATTTTGCAGATGCGCTTTTATTAATATAGCCCGATGGATGCCATAATGATTACCTGAGCCGTAGCAGAGCACCGTGCCTTTCAGACCATAGACAAGCAGACACCTTTGTTCAAGGCATGCACCAGGTGCGATGGAAGCTATCAGCATGATGTGTGTGGAAGCTGTAAAAAAATGTTCAGTTGTATTGTGGTGTACATAGCGTGTGTGTCTAATACTGTTTTCCTATGTGGGCTATTCCTCAGAATGCCATTTCTCTCTGGTGTTACTCAAGGGTCTGCCAATGTACATGAACCTGTATGCTTTTCCGGAGGTATCTTGTGTCTGTCAGTGCCGTGGGAGTTCGGGCGCGTCGTCTGTTGCACCAGTTCACGCACCCAGTAGCTGCAGTATTGTCTCTATGTGGCCAGATCTACTCTTTTTTTTTTTTTTGCCACGTGGAAGAGCTTGCCAGTGTGGATGTCACGAGACTTGTTTCATTATATGCTTGCTACTTCCCAGTGTTCTTACATATCCCCTTCATTTGTGACTTTTTCTTGCTTTTCGTTGCCTGTGCGATTGTGCTGTGGCAACAACCCACTTTCAAGTTAGGTGCAGCAGAGCTCCTGCAGGGCAGCGCAACAATGTTGTTGCAGCTTACATCTGGCAGACATGAGCGTTCGCTAGTGACCAGCTACACTTTGCAACTAGCTTGCCACTCTTGCCTGATGTGTGCGCCAGGCTGAGCCGGTAAATCTGGAATGTCAGCTGCTCTTTCATAGCTGAAAGTATTGGGCGTAATAATTAGAGTGCATTGGTACACCATTACTGCCACTTGCCAGATCTGTGCACGCCATCATGCGCAGTGTATCTATGGTGATCGCAAAACCAGTAGGAAGCTGTTGTACTTATGGCAGATGGTAGCTATACAATGAAGAGACCTTCCTCTAGAAAAGGCCAGCCCAACACTTATTGTATGGCACTTACTAAGCTGGCGCGCAAGATTCTGCAAGCGTTGCACAGTTATTGCTTCCTCGCGTTTGGCGTAAACTTCTTTTGGTTACATGTATGTTAATTGCAGTGATTCGTAGACTTCACGCCTTAAACGCTGACGCAGGGTAGAGTTAAATAAAGTATAGCTAGTTCTTCACGATTTGGGACTGGGCAAAAGAACACAGCCTGTGCTTGAGACAGCAATGTCCACATGCCCACATTTTCGTAATTGAAAACATTGCCGAGCTGACTAAACGACTGTGCTTTTGAGTACAGATGCTTTGTGATACGCGATATCGCATGCATCTTCCATTTAATTTCTGCACCTATCGTCAAAAGGCATAGTGCTAAATTGTGTGCGAGCAACTCTAGCATCTTGATAAAACAGCCCCGCCACAGTGGTCTAGTGGTTAAGGCTGCTGACCCGCAGGTCGTGGGATCGTATCCCGGCTGTGGCGGCTGCATTTTTGGTGGAGCTGAAAACGCTATAGACCCGTGTGCTCAGATTTGGGTGCACGTTAAAGAACCCCAGGTGGTCGAAATTTCCGGAGCCCTCCACTACGGCGTCTCTCATAATCATATGGTGGTTTCGGGACGTCAAACCCCACATATCAATCAATACATCTCGATAAAAGAGACGATGCCTAAAAAAACACCCTATTCACAAGAGATGCAAGACTTTAGTTTGATTCATTTGCCGCAGTGATGTACCTTACGTAAAGCATGTAACGGATTGATGACGCGAGCAGTTGTTTAAAACCAATATTTAGGTGGCTAGTTGAGGAGGAGGAGGGTGGGGGAACATGTGTGCAAAACTTTTAACATCGCATTTTTCCAGCCTACTTGAAAACATGGCTCAGGTATCAGATAAAAGACCACATTAACGGTCTCCTCTGTGAGTGTGGGCATGCCATATTAGCCAAAAGGAGAGGGGACTATTCACTGCGATTGGAAGAATGAATGAATCCTGCATGTTTTTGTTGAGATTGTCGTTTTCTGTGTCCGCCTGTGTGCATGTGTGTGTCCAGAGATCGGCACTCTGCTTTATCCTCAGAATGCTGTATGAATAGCAGGTCGCTGCGCCCGTGTGTACATAGCCTTATAAATACGAAGTTGTTGGCGTTTCTTCGCTTGGTCCATAAGCGATGATGTTATCAAGTCTGTTTGTCCTCCCATCTCAAAGAACAAATGGGAGATAATTTTTTTGTTTCTTCTGCGACTGCGGTTGCGCAAGTGTACAGCGTACTTAGAATAGATAGATATTTTATTTTCCTGAGAATCATAATTTTTTATCATAATTTATTGCAGTGTGTAATTAATGATGTTTAGATGGTATGTGTGAGGAGAGAGAGATACATATATGTTCATTATATATATATATATATATATTATATATATATATATAAGGTTGTCTTAAAACAGGTCAACTATATTGCTATTCTAGCAGCGTGATGAAGTCGACGTTTGGGAGATATACATGTATACATATATATATGTAAGTATATATACGTGCTACACATGTATGTTGGAAGCAAAATCATAAAAACAAAAACCTGTGCGATGGTGGATCTTTCCTGTATTAATTTGAGATTCGCACCGGGCATTGATCTCGGAGCGTGTGTAATCGTGGTTGAACTGTTAGTACAAAAAAATGTACGAATAAAAGCTGTTTTGCCTAAAACCATGTGTTCATTTGTAGCATGTGTGGCGTCTACTGTTGAACTGCTGCCGTGCAAAAAAAAAATTACGGCATATTCACGGGGTGAATGATGATGAATGGGCGAAGCTCCGGAGGGATTCATCGGTAAACTGTGAATCTACCGTGTAATTCGCCCAGTCGATCATCATGTAAAGACGTGAGAAACGCTGTGTGTGTATATACACAAATCAACTTTTATTTGTTCTTAGACGATGGATGGCTTGCGATGTCCCTTGCCTCGCGCGCTCGCACATCGGGATTCTGTCTGCGAGCGCGCGCTGCTGCCGCCTTGCGCTCTCTCCGCTGTGCAGCCTTATCCATCCGGCGACTCCGAGCGCGCGCCAACAGCGAACGGATTTTATTACAACGCTCCCCCTAGCGTACGTCGCCGCACTAAATCGAACGATTGCCTTCAACCAATGACACGCGCCATATGTGACATCATTCCTATTTTATAAGATCTCGCGTCTTTCATCAACTACAAGTACCGCTTTCTAGTTTATAACATCTTGCATCTTTTCATCATCAGCTATAAGTACCACCATCTAGTAAACACTACAAGAACTAAACGAGAGGTGGCTACATACAGGAGACGGTACCGCCATCTAGTGAACACTGCAAGAACTAAACTAGAGGTGGCTACATACAGGGGACGGTACCGCCATCTAGTGAACACTGCAAGAACTAAACTAGAGGTGGCTACATACATACTACAGGGGACGCACAGCCCACGCCCTAAGGAGCTTCGCCCCTAAAAAAATGTTACACAGATGCAGATCCAAAGCACATTTTGGCATCTGCATTCGAAGCAGCTTCACGTACAGGTTCCAAAATGTGCTAACATTCAATTCCCGCACAACCAACTTCACCTCGCATTATGTAGTTTTGGAATGGCATGCCTGCTCAGCGAAGACACTGGAAACCGTGTGGCTCAAATATGAAAATGAATGTTTGACGTGACTGAGTCGCACTTGTTCATGGTATTGAACAATGCGCTTTTCAACCTATCGAAGTGTCTGTTTGGATTATGGTGAAATTAAGTGCAAATAATGGTTTTGCACACTATCTTTGGCAAGATGACGGTTGAGGAGGCTCGCAACAGCATCATAAGTATGAAAAGAATATTTATAATGCTTATTTTCATAGCCGTGCACCAAGTTCCACATCAAAGGGAGAGGGTGTAGGTTTATAAAAGCCCCCCCCCCCCCAATTATAGTATGAGACTGCTTTTGCCCCCCCCCCCCTCTTCGTTTTTATATAGGGGCCACATCTTGTTTGGATAATGGTACGATCAACGAATTTGTACAGATTGTTCAGATGGAGTTACATATAGTCTGGTTTGTTACACGAGTCCGTGCGGTACTCCTGACAGCAAACGAGTTTGTACAGACGGCTTAGATGGAGTTACTGAAAGTCTCATTTGTTACACGAGTCCCATGTTGGGCAAGACACTTGCCACGCCTTGAACTTCCCGCGCCACTCGTGATGACATAATAGGTTTACACGGCGTTCCTACGTAGTTCCGAATCGACAAAAATGAAGCATATTGTCCTCTGTGGAAGTCGGAGACCTGACATACGAATCTACAGAAAATTTTGTTGAGTTAACGTGACCAAAACATACAAAAAGACATCGAAATTTGTGACGTCATCATGGAGGTTCTGGCGGAAAATTTAAATGAGAAACATTTGGCATTGATGTTCTCATCTATTTATAAGCATGAGATGGTAAAATTAACGACACTATTTCCAGAGTATAATTTATCAGTTTATTTCATTCTATTGTTTCACTTTAGTGTCCCTTTAAGCAGGGGTGGGCAAGGGGGGGCTAGAGTGCCCTCCCCCCCCCCTAAAAAAACATTTTCACCTGCCCCCCGCGTTGCCCACCCCTCCAAGAGAGAACATAGTTGTAACACAGTGGCTGTTTCCCGCCTCCCTGCCTTCCCCCACGCTGAAGGAACTCGGTTGTCATGGGTGCCAACCCCCCTCTCAATAGAAAGATCCGGGCGCTAGGCGAAAGCCTCGCATGTCTCGTGAGTAAAAAAAAATTGTTATTCGGCAGGTGGCTTGATCACGAATTCATCAGTTTAATTCATTTTATTGTTCATCAGTTTATTCATTTTATCGTAAGAGCCACACGACCTCACAGAAACATGAAATGAAGCTAGGAGCAAAATGTCACATGACTCGCAGTGATGGAAGTGCTGCTCCAATTGCTCCAAACTATTCCAAAAGAGAAATGGTGCTCTATGCTGCTCCGAAGTGCGATATTTGCTAGTAACTGCTCGAAACCTGCTCAGAAAGGATGTTGGCCAACCAAAAAGAATGAATTTGAACCATGGGACCATCGCGTGAGCCTAAGCGAAACCAAAAGCAAGCTGTATGCACTTTCATCCTTGTGTGCTACTCAATGACGTAAATCCAGAAAAATATCAAGGGGTGACACAGATCAGGCCACGGTGTCTAATTCGTAATCTCAATATGGGTTGTATTTTTATTTATGAAGGAATTAAATCATGCTTTGAAACAAAATTTTACAGAACGAGCGTGGGGTACGAGCTCGAGCTATTGCATAGTTCTATTCGGTTTCTCTTTTTTTAACACCTTTTTTTTATTTCAATAGTTCACACAGCTGAGGGGCATCTAACAGAGCCCCTCAGCTGGCTCTATGTATACGCAGTAATATATACGCAGTAAAAGACACAAAAAGTTGATATTGCTACGCTTAACTGTTAACTCAATTATATCACGCGCTAAAGCTAAATCTCAAGTGGGACACTCGCTAGGGTTATCCTCCTCAGCCTGAACACCAGAAAAGTCCGAACTCTCCTGGCACCCCTCCCCCGGCCAACTATAGTGCTTGTATACTAGCTGCATACTAGCATAGGGCATGTTTATTAATAAATAAAAATGTTTATTAGATACTCAAGTGTTCTTTTTGTAGACTTCATCAGTCGTTAGGAACGTGCACCTGTTCCGAAAACATCAATAGCAAACCGCATTTTTTTTTCTGCACCGAAATCCTTGAACCTGCTTCAAAGCACCATTTTTATGTTCCAGAATATGCTCCAAAAGGCAAAATGTCGCTTCCATCACTGGACTCGTCAAAGTGTCGCCATCGACGCGTGTGTAGTCAAGCTACGTTACAGCCGTCATTTCATAGCGTCATCGTGACGTTTTCGTCGCCTGATCACGGATGTATGAAACACCGTGTCAGGGGCAGAGGCCTTCGGATGTTAGGGGAAGGGAAGGGGCAAATCGATTGAGAATGTCGAAGCACGTGGTTTAAGGGGACGCTGAAAAGGTTTCAGAATTCTACAGTAGCTTCAAGGACTTGCATTGCTGTCATCAGTGTAGTAATTTTTTGCGCAGTTGTTACTGCAGAAGCTTTAGAATGCGCGAGAGAAAAGTTCGTCTTGCTCAGGCCACCAGAGATCGTCGAAAGTGGGGGCGTTGAAACCTACGTCATCCTCGGTTCCTTTGGCAGAGTTGGCGGAGCTGTGCTGTACTCAGACGGAAGGTTCCCACCGCTTACTGATTCGAACTACTGCAGCCTTTTGTGACGGAGGCTCAAGTAAGTATATCGAAAGTGAAAGTTCTGCAATCGGATCATGATATCGCAAATAACGACAACAGCCGAGCGCTGTACGTTAACAACCGTATCTCGCATCGCCTTGCTTCAGCAGTGTCGCTTTTGGAGATAATACAGTGTACCGAGGATGACGTCACCGCGTTCGCTGATCATCTCAAGAGACCGTACGTGATTGATTTGATTGATATGTGGGGTTTAACGTGCCAAAACCACTATATGATTATGAGAGGCGCCGTAGTAGAGGGCTCCGGAAATTTAGACCACCTGGGGTTCTTTGACGTGCACCCAAATCTGAGCACACGGGCCTACAACATTTCCGCCTCCACCGGAAATGCAGCCGCCGCAGCCGGGATTCGAACCCGCGCCCTGCGGGTCAGCAGCCGAGTACCTTAGCCACTAGACCACCGCGGCGGGGCAGACCGTACGTGAGGCCAGAGCTTTCGTTTTTCGCCTAACAGTGCTGTTTTCCTTCATTTTTGAGAACATCGTTTTTCGAATTCAGCAGGAACCAAGCTGTCATTGCAGATTTCAGTTAATTTGTTTTTTACATTTAGTGAGCGTTTCGTGAGACCATAGTCTTTGTTTTGTGTGTTTTCGTACCATTCATTGAAAGGTGATGTCACTACTGCCCACCTTCTTTTCTCTTCATTTTCTTTTGAGAGATAGTGGTGCATCATCCACTCGAGGCAGCTCACGCATGCCATAGTTGTTTCGACGGGCTAAGTCGTTGATCTTTGCCGTATCCTGGACTTTTTTTTTTAATGCGGAGTATTTCTTAGTCCCTCGATGTCACGGGGAAAGCGTTTGTGGCAGTGGTGGTCGATGGGGCTGGCCTTGTTGTCAACTCAACGACGGCGAGGACGAAAGACCCAATCATTGCGGAACAGGTGGCCATCGCCTTAGCACTCAAGATGGATAACATTGAAGTCGTCTACAGTGATTCCATGGCAGCACTACGGGCGTTCGCCAAGGGGACGGTCTCTGAACAAACGCTGAGAATACTGCAAGGCAAGAACATAACGCATCATCTTCTGGGTTGGTTCCCAGCTCACCTTGGGCAAATCAACGATTCCCCTCCCAATCTCAATGAAGCAGCACACGAGGCGGCGCGAGACCTCTCTCCTACCGTGCCTCCCCGGGAATGCGTTCTACTGGTGAAGGGGATAACCGGGAAATTCTTACAACATATAACGAGCTCACTAAACATTTCTACCTGTCTAGAAGGATTTTCCCTCCACCTCACAAAAATCTAACCCGGCCCCAAGCACTTACATTAAGGCTTTTGCAAACGCGGATGTACCCTACTTTGAAAATGTTACACATCATGTGCCCTGACCTATACCCAAGTAATCTTTGTCCACATTGTGGGGAAATAGCTTCATTAGAACACA